CTGAGATCAGGATGTCTCACCGGTCCATGAATGGACTTTGTGTCATCAGCAGTGGCCGAAACACTGAGACTGCAGCCAAGTTGTCATCACTCTGAGAGGACCTGGGAGAGTACGGGATGTTTTGAGAGAAACGGTTCTGTTTTCTGTAGCCGGGCCAATTCTGATGCTCATGTTTCAAATCATGTTGTTATCATTGCTGTGTGTTCTGGCGCTCTCTGAAAACCAACTGGGGAGCAGCTATGAATAGTTGGGGTTGAAGAAACAGAAAGAGGGGGTGGCACCGTCTCCTTGTTGCCAGGAAATGATTTTGGTTCTCTGCAGTAAAAAGAAAGAGCTTGTCTGCTCTGCCAGCACAGCACACAGAGGGGTCTTTGTGATTCTGATCAGTCCTTATTACTGCTTCAACTCACAGCGCTTCATGTACGGTGGATAGATCTGCTCATCTAGAACATGCTGCACATTAATCTGTTATAGCAGAATTAGTTTTTTACCTGCTGAGTTCACTGATATGCAAACTGTAGATACCTGAGCTCCACATGAGACAGTTGTTGAAATCAATTATGCGTCCAGTCATTTTATTGGGACATAACAATGTGTTGATATCCAGCTCTGCGCACATCGATTAATCATGTGCAGAAGCACTAAGTCCCCTGATGATTAAGCATGGTTTTTACTGTCAGTGATGTTTGTACCTGAATTAATGATGAGACAGTCGTTTGGTGGTGTCTCATTGGAATAAATTAACGTTCTCTCTGTTTGTGGATAATTTGATTTGAAACACTGTTTACCAACTTGAAGACTTGCTGATATTTCCCATATGTGCTCAGAAGTTTCCAAAAGTTGCATCATTTTCTTATTATCACCAAGCTAGTTATTTACAGTCTTGTGTAGTGTCTCTGTGTAATGTTAACACCTAAAATCCTCTTGTATTTATGTAGCTATAAAACAGCTGGCAGAACCTTAGTTGAATAGAAATGTAAATTTAGACCAGTTGAATAAACTAAAAGTAAAACAAGCATAAAACAGCTCAGTTTTGAATGAATGAAAGAATTCATATTGGTTTGCATTTCTCTAACCTTAGCAGTTTTAGCCAGAGCAGCCCTCGTTACTTGCTGGTAAATGTCCACATGCCTGTACATGTGGCATTTCTCTTTTCTATTTGCCAGTTTATTCTGTCGCTGTTTATATAGAACCTGTAAGGTTGGCCCAAGTGGTTATGGCACAAACACTGAGACAAACCCGGTTATTCAGTCCGAGTGTATTTATTTTTCAGTGGCATCTTAATTCCCTGTGCAGCAGTATGTACAGTGCAGGCCTGGTTTTAAAGATAATAAAGACAGAAGGAAAAAATACAATAAATAATAACAAAACCATAAAAATAAATTCTAACTTGGGTAAAACACAAAAAAAATCTCAGCTCTGCATTATAGGCAATGCTTCTTTAACTGTTGGGCCCTTTCACGTTCCATGGGCTTGGCTCTATTCAAGGTAAGCGCTCAACTCCCCCTCAGGACCTCCAGCCTCCTCCTTCATACTGGCTGGGTCCTACCAGGAAACATGGATTAATAATTAATAATCAAGTTTCACAAAGAGAGACTACACTCAGTACACAAAGAAATTTTAACATTCTCTACTGGTTAACAAACATACCAAACACACATGTGGGTCCACATTAGTTCTCAAATATAAACACTTAACACCCCTCCAACTCTACCATACTTGGTGCCATCCCCTGTTCATAAGCTGATGGTGCCCTCCAGCACGGTTTCTGCAGTCTGCAGCAGAGATGAAACAGGTGACAACAATTCAATGTGTGAAACACCTTTAACAATAAATAAAATGTTTCGCTGTGTATTTATTTTAGAATGCATTAATTCTATGACCCCTAAATATATCCTGCTTTGTCGGTAACAAACACATCAGAGCCGGTTCAATCAAAGTGTCTTTGCTGGGTGTGTGTTTACGAGTGTGCGTCTTACTTTGAAGGGCACGGACTAACCCTGCGACACAACCTTCATTTCATGTCTAGGTGGGTAGCAAGGGATGAATGTTGCAACTGTGTAACATGTGTGTAAAAATCACGTCTTACTCCTAAAACTATTATTGTTTTTGTCAAGTTTATTTTTCAGCTATTAAAAGTTCCACTTGTTCTACTATATCTCAACTCTTTAAAGGAAACCCCTATATGAAAAAGGTTTGTTTTGTTTTCTACCCAAAGACTAGCTGACTTGGCTTTCCCCCTGAAATCTTAAATGATCAGTTGCACCCAGAGGAAGAATAAAAACCAATATGTCTTACAGAGCACTGTTTAGTCTGCTGTGATCAGATGGTCTGTTACTGTCGGATCTAAAGTGAAGTTTTCCAACACCAGCATTGGCCACTTCTCCTAAAAACACCTTGAGCGTAAAGAATGAGGATGCTCGACCATGTCTTCTTTTTTCGCTGCTGTTCACACACGTTCACCTCCCTTTGGGCTTGAAATATTAATGGATGAGTGTTATTCTAGAGGGAGTAAGGTGACCTTCATGCCTGTGTGAGTCCACGGAGAGACACATATTCTGCTTTCCACCACCCACAGTACCTTTTATTCTAAAACAGCATTTTACATTAGAACTAAGCACCTATGAATCGAATGTATTTATATCGTCTGTTCACATGTCCAGATGGAAGTGTAGTCTAAAAAGACAAAAGGCTTAATAATCCCTGTCAAATAACATTGTGTTCCTAGAGGTAGAATGGGGAATGAATACAAGCAGGAGCCTAATTACATAATTTCCTCTTGATCAGCCTGAAGTAAGATTAACAAGTTTCTACTTGGTATCAACTGGGAACAAAAAAGGTTCAGAGAAAATCTGAGAATGGACTAGAACATTTTAAGCATATGATATTATACATATCTCTAACATTCAATCAAGCTGCATAGACTTGCTCCACTTATACCTGTCAATCCCCCAAATTTAGTAGATTTGTAAATCGAGATCCTGGGAAATTGGTGAAATTGGTGAAAAAAATCAAAAAACGTAAAACTCGTAAAACTCTTGCAGATCGGGGTGGCTTTCATGACCCATACCACATCCCTCAATGTGTCCAGCAGTTTTTGTGTAATACAAAGAAACATTAAAGTCCGTGCAACAGTAAAAAATGAGTGACGGATCTTATAATGGCAAACATAGCCTCAGAAGTTACTTTTTCACCCCTCCCTTTGCTGTGGGTTCCTCTCTCTCAGAAAGTGCCAGACGTGTGAGAGTATGATGGATGTTGACAGCGTAGGGTGAGGTGGGGGTGTGACGATCCCAGACGCTCTGTCTGCTCCAGGCAAGGCTAATGTCTTTTGGCAAGGCTGGGTCAGGTGGCATGATGGGACAGCGCATGGTGGACGGGACCAGGCAGCGCAATAGACGTGTGGAACACTCACTATTCACTGCAACAAGATGATACTGTGTCAGAGCACAGCTCGCTGTATTTATTATTGTTAGGTTTATTCAATAAGAAGCAGAAAACTGTTTTGTGCATGTGGGTATGACGACTTTGCTGTATGGTACTTTATTTTTTTTACTTGGCTATCTCAGAACTAATGCTCTTCATTTTTTATCCTTAATGGATCTTTAATTATTCATTTTGAATCTACATAACCCAGGCTTTTCTTGGTCTTAAATGTGTCTTGAGTTTTTAGTTAACAAACTGCTCTCTGATTATAGATATCTTTTTCTATTTGCCACATGCCATTCAATTCTAAAATCATTGATCATGTCAGGTTTCTGCTGATTGCTCTTCATTTCCAGACACAATATATTAAATAGTTAGTTTTATAGGGCTGGGTTGCATGGCCAAAACTTATATCAAAATAAAGATCTTCATATCAGTTGATATTGATAATTATCCTGATAAATTTAATACAGTTTATAAGTTTATAAATAATAACAAGTTTGAATTCAGATTTTTGCTGCTGAGTGACATTGTGGTTTTTACAAATCTTATAGAATAATTATGTCTTTTACCTCCTCACTGTGCATAATGTATAAGCAATATTGGTATATATTGCTATGAATGAAAGTTATGTTGTGCTATTCTCTTAAGCACTGAGTTGTTGACATGCAGTGTTACTGACCTGAACACATGTTAATGTATTTCCTTCCACGTAAAATATTTGGGAAGAAGATTCTTTAAACCAATTAAAAAAAATTGTTTGTATCCATGGCCGCTACTTTTGCGTTTTTCTTTCAGAGTTAATGCTGCCAATCATAGTAGCATACAAACTCCTGGCTCTATTGTGCTCCTAGTGGACAAAACTCAACAGGGAACCTTTAAGTGGCAGATAACAGAAACCTGGTGACCCATCACAGTTTATGCTCTCGTCATCTTCCACAATTCACAACTGTCTGCAGGTCCTTTTATTGCAGTTAAGTGCAGATAACTGCTGATTGCCAGCTAACTCATATTTGGTCCTATGCCGCTATCAGATGATGCATTTGTCAAAAAGATAGTTTGTGAATGGTTCATGTTTATTGATTTTTTGCCTGTGTGTCTGCAAGGTGATTTTTCAGAGGGGGTTGAAGTGAATGGGAACCAGTGAGAAAATGTTTGAAATGTTTATTATTATTTATTAGATTAAAAAATTCATCTTCTTTTGTCCATAAATGTACCATGAGTCGAGAAAAAAAATTGCCATGATGTAGCATGAAATAATCAGCAGCCATGAAATAACCCTTTCTCCCTGCACCCTTCCTCTGCCAGAAAAACAAGCTTTATTAATCGAGGGAATTCTTCATGCATATCTGTACATAATGTCCTCAAAAATGGAAACATAAATAAACCAGACGACCCAGAGGACAGAATGTGATGTTTGTGCCAGGTCATCTCTGGGTCATTCATGTTTTCAAAGCAGGAAGAGTCCCTGCTTGTTCTCCAGTATTCCGCTCACATAGGCAGACACAAAGCAACAGCAATGTGCAGTTCACAAGTTTCCTCTGTAACGTGTCAATGTTTTACTGTTCCAACAGGTGCAGGCGAGTCTGGGAAGAGCACCATTGTAAAGCAGATGAAGTAAGTTACAAAAACATACTTTTTAAAATATGTTTATTATTTTAAATAATGAATTTGTCCACCTCAGGGGCGAGACAACACATGGTGAAAAGTAGCCCAACATGACCATATCTGATGACAGATATACAAAGTAAGAAATACAGATCACAATAAGTTTTTATGTCTCTGCACCAGTGAAAGCCAATGGTCATTTGTATTGTTTTCTTAAAACTGTGACTTTTTTTGAATTATATATGCAAAATCTCTGGAACACCTCCACGGAATTCTTCAAATTTGGTGCAAATTTTCACTTGGACTCAAAGTTGATTAGATTTTGACGGTCAAAGGTTCACTGCGAACATAGAAAAAAAATGTTTGGCCTCCTGAATGCAACAACTCCTTAAGATCAGCTCGAAACAATCCTTTCAAATTTGGCACAAATGTTCTCTTAGACCCACAGATTAACTCATTACATTTTTGTGGTCAAGGGTCAAAAGTAAAGACACAGCAGCCTCACAAATAATATTTTAGCCTCTTGAACATGATATTTCAAGTCTTCCTCTAGAGAAGTTCTTTAAATGGTCAAAAGTTAAGTAGGTCATGTAAAGTCACCTCATATGAGTTTGAAACTACACTGGTTGTATCAGGCATGCATCGCCATTGTGGCAATTCTGGTTTTGATAACTTGCGATGACTGTTCAAGAAGCCAAAAGAATAACACACCTGCCAAATTGTGTTTTAAATGTTCTTGTTTTTTTCTATAGCTGAACATAATGTGCTATTTTTTAAATCATAATAATAATTTAGAGAGCCAGCAAATCAGCAGAGGTGAAATCAAAAACTTTGGCACTGACCATAAGGCAGATTCAATCAGCCGTTTTGGCTCAGTAGTTAGAAGTAACAGTTACCATGTGATTATTAGGTAAGATAAATATGACTCTGTGGTTTATAGGGCACAGCATGGCCTTTGCTGTTTGTTATTGTCGTTTACTGCTCCTAGTACAATAATAGTTTGTGATTACAGAGAATGTTGTAATGCCTGTTCACACACACACACACACACACACAACCCCAAATGGCTTAATTATTCACATTCCTCTGGGCTAGCCAGGCATTGAATCTATTTTTTATGAGTTCGGAGCAGGAACAGTCTGTTGCTCTTAGAAGCCAGATTATTAACATGTACAGGTGCACAGATAAATCAGCCCACGAGCCGGAAACACTCACAACACCGGCTCATTATGTAACAGTACACATCAAAGTATCCTGCGTCAACAAGACATTATAGCAATTAAAGTCAGGAAAACATAACAAACCTTTTCCAAATTAGGAAATTATGTATTTGCTAAATTACTAGTGTTCATTATCATATATATCAACACATTGTTAAAGGCGCAAGCTGTTCACTTAACAATTCACGTGGGGCGGTCTCACTGCCCTCTACAGCCTGGATGGTATACATCTCATGGTAGGATGCGCACTGGTACATGCACAGAGGCTTGGTTACCTCCACGCTCAGGTCCAGAGTGATAATAATATTGCAAGAGGTAAACTGAGGATACTGCATCAAACGGATGCTGCAGACTTGAGGCAGTTTGAGTGTGTGTTAACCTCAGTGCATCATCCTACACAGCATTCTCACATGATAGCTGTGACGCACAGTGTAAAGTGCATGTTACATTTCAGCTTCGACACCAAAATGTGTGACTGATAATCATATCTGTTCAGTTTATGTTCGTTTGTACATCAGTTAATTTATTACAGCTCTTAGTCGAGTACTTATCTTCATAAACAGATTCTGCATGTGAATATACAGAAGCTGTGGCCAATGGGCAAGATTTAGAGGTTGTAAGCCTCCTGGTTTCAGTTCCAGTGGAGAGCAAAAGAGGCGGAATACATTGCCTGAAAAGCATCAGCTATAGGCTTTTTAATTTATCTACACTCATATATAGCTGTTAATAAAGATAAGCCCAAATGACTGATGATCACTGCTTTTTTTTTTTTTTTTTGAGACGTGTTCAAGTGTAAAAGGCCTAGATATTTGATGTCAACACTGGAAGCCCCAAAATATGGTCTACCCCCAGAGGCTAATTCATTTTCAGATGGTAACAGATGGGCTCTGGAACATTTGGTAATGAAGGTTTTATGTATAGACTTTATTAAATATTGCATGATGTTTGATATTCTCAGGATCATCCATGAAGATGGCTACTCAGAAGACGAGTGCAAGCAGTACCGGGCGGTGGTTTACAGTAACACCATCCAATCCATTATGGCCATTGTTAAAGCCATGGCCAGTCTAAAGATAGAGTACAGCAACCCTTCCAGAGCGGTAAGATGCACACACACAAACATAAGAAAACACAATGTATTTGTTACATTTCTGTATATTATGGCATCAATAGGCTTTTCGTTATTACCGTCCTCTGATTTTGATGTGACCACAAGCAGAAAAACCTATTTCACACTCTCTAACGAGACAAACTGTGGTAACCAGGGCCTCAGTTTATGTTCAGGATACAAACTCTCAACATGCATGATGGCATACAGACTTGCAAATGTCATACTATTGCAAATATGTAGCGATATACAGTATATCACTCTGAGTGCAGACAGCTGACCAGCCTAAAAAACATCATCATCTTTGAGAAAGCAGAATAACTGAACAGATCAGGCCACAAAAAGCAAAGCCAGTGTTATTTACTGCACCTTTCTCTTGTGTATCTGGTGTAGTTACCAAGATTTATGCTTGTACAGAACTGGAATCACAACAGTTTACCTTGTGTTTCTGTGAAGCTGCACCATCCCTTTCCCTTTTGCTTCTGTCTCGATCTCCTACTACAAACGTTTTATTCCCTCACCTCCACGTTCAAGTATAACCCAGTGAACAAAGATTATTTCAAGGCTGTGACGCCTCGAGGAGACAAATTCTGTTTCTCCTGTCTTGCCTCCTGTCGGCAGTTCATGTACAGTCAATAACTCTGGCAAGCTGGCAAAGGCATGTATTTCAGCCTTCACCTGTTCCCAGCAGCCTTTTTTCACCACTGCTAAAGCTGTGGTTGATAGAACAACAAGAACACGGTGTAATGGTTCTCTCTCCACGTCTTTGTAACCTGCAGGGAAACGGTCCTCGTCTCACCCACTTCTCCTCCTCCATCTTTGATCTGCTCTTTTCTCAAAAGTAGTAAAAGAGGCTGAATGTGTGCATATAACAATAGCAGCATCAGCAGATAGGCCAGGGAGGGCTGTTCGGGATTGATCCATTCAAAAGTGATGGCAAAGCACATTTTAGCGGCACATTTCCTTTGCCAGGTGCCTTCTGCAGCATCAGCAATGACAAATGAATTCATTGTTTTAAAGCTGGGGTCCTCACAAGTGGTCCAGCATTGTCTGGTTTTCATCATTTCATGTCTACATCAGATGTTTTTCTTTCTTTCTCTACACTTTCCCACTGGATATAGATTACACACAGTAGGCTCCCACTGGCAAGTTTGGACTTGATTTGGAAAACACCATTACACTGTCAACATCGTGGTTTTGTGTTTTTTTGACTAATTAGCCATTTTACTTAACTTGAAAATGTGACCCTGTTAAGTTGTTCTTTGTTTGATATCATCATAAAGTGAATATCTGTGGGATTTTGGACAATTGGTCTAAAACTGGCTTAAGGGTCAACATCAAATTTGCTCTTGAGGTTGTTTTAATGCATTTTATAGATGAATTATTTTGTCAGTTAATCAATTATAAAAACTAATCATTAGCAGCACTAGCAGCTTTAATTAACACACACTTGCAAAGCTCATCAGAGTATTCATTAAACTTTCGTAAAGACACACGCACGCATGCACACACACGCACAAACACACACAC